GTCCGGCCATATCAATGGTGTTCAAGCATTGGTTCGACAAGAGTATCCTTTTGCTCATTTTGTTCATTGTGCAGCTCATAGATTGAACCTGGTCCTATGCCAGTCAGCCTCATCAATTTCTCCTGTTAAAATCTTTTTTATTAATATAGCTACATTCAGCACATTTACAAGCAATGCCCCAAAAAGAAAAGCTTTTCTCACATCTAACAACCTTGAGTTTCCTGCCCCTGGTGAAACAAGATGGTATTATATCGCTCTAGATTAATCAATGTATTGCACAAAAACTAAGAAAAACTTTTAGATATTTTTGAGGGGGTACTTGAACAACCAGCTGGGTGGGATGATGAGTCATTAAGTAAAATAAGTGGCTTACTGCATTATCTTGATAGCTTTCTCTTTTGTTTTCTAGTGTGTGTTTTTTTACAGGATTTTAGAACAGTCCACAATTTTGTATTCCATTCTTCAAAATAGGGAAACCCATTTTAACTATGGCATAAGCAAGATTGACAATTTCAATCAGTTTATTGTGTCACTTTGCACAGATCAAGCTTTCACCGAGTTTTACCAAACTGCACTAGAAAAAGTAGGCCCACCAGCAACCAGAGCAGATAGTAGATACAATTACAAACAGCTTTATTTTGAGATTATTGATTCCATTAAAGGCATGTTAAGTGAACGATTTCAAGATATTAATCAGTTCGAGTTTTTAGACCTTGTAAATCCTAAACTATTTACTACATGGAAGGGCATAGTTCCACAGGAGAAGATCAATCTTCTCAAAGATAAGTATAATCCTCTTTTTGACATCCAAACTTTGGAGAGTCAACTTTCCTTCATTTACAACGACAAGGACTTTCACAAAGAGTGCAGTAATGAGGTTCTTAAATACATCTTCAAATTTAATCTCCAGTCGAGTTTAGGTCAAGTGGTAAATTTGTTAAAATTGAATGGTGTGTTGGCAGTGGCAAGTGCTTCAGTAGAGAGGTCGTTTTCTTGCTTAAAAAGGGTAAAAAGCTATTTAAGAAATAGAATGGGTCAAGGTCGGCTTAGCTCTTTGTGTAGAATATCTATTCACAAAGATATCATTGAAAAGAAAGAGGAATCAGAGGTGTTGCATAACGAGGTGGTTGAAAAATTTGTCGAAAAACCCAGGAGGCTGGCCTTTCTTTATAAATGAGTATAGTATGTGTTTTGATATTTGTTCGTATAATACATGGTACTTCATTGAGAAAATTAAGCATAACTTTAAAGAATAAAGCCATCCCTGTCTACTTGCCCCAATCTAAACAAGTTTAAACTAACAAGTAGAATGCTAAGAAAAATCTCTCTCTATGCACTTTAGAAGTGTCGATACTATATTATTTTTGTGCTAATACAAATTTCTTCTGTTTATGCAGGGCAGTGATGAGTAAATTATGTTTTAGGGGACAATTGTCTCCTGCGTAACGTTTCTCTGAGCCACCTTTAGTACCTTTTTAACTAGTTGCAGTTTCAACGATTGCCACATTAAGAATGCAGCTATCAAAAATGGGTTTTTATAAATTATTGTAAAACAAATAATTTGCCCTCGAAATCGCAGGAAATGCTGTTTCCAAGGCTCTGGATTTCAAAATTTTCCGGGGGAGCATGCCCCCAGACCCGCCTAGTGGGGTCGCGCCTCCGGCGCAAGATGGATTGGTGGGAGTGACTATTTTTTCTAGCTATGCCACTGGTAATTAGGATTTAAATCTCTAGGTTCGTATTGATTATAGTAAAAATTACAATCATGTCCACCAATATGTCCAACACGACAAAGAATATAACCATTTTTCCAATTACAGAACATGATTTTTTGTATAAAGTTTTCCCATCATGTAATCTACAAAAAATACAAATAAAAAATGATAAAATATTATTAATTTATTTTTATTTGTTTCATGGATTTTTCTAGCCTTTTTTATCATTTAAATCAGTTATGTCATTATCATATTCTTCTTCAGTATCATCATCATCATCATCGTTTTGTAAATAAGCATACACTTTATCCAGTAAACCATTACATTCAGCATTTAATGAAGTACAATCCATTCTTCCAATTTTCAATTTTTTTTAATAGGGTTTGTCTTTAACTTGATAATACTCTTTTCTTTATTTCTTTCCATAAATAAAATGAAAAAAATCAGATTTGATGTAATCCAGCATTAATTTTTCCAAGCTTGAAAATAAATTCCTTTTGTAACCATTTTAAAATTATTGTAGGTAATTGATAAATATCTTCATAATAAGACTTTATAATGTATTTCCATCCTTCAAACAAATTTTCATAATAATAATATAAATATTATTTCAACTGATTCCTTAATCTTTTTCTATACCTTGTGATCATCATCATGATTAAAAGTTTCTTCCCTTTCAATCCACTTACTCAGACATCTGTAAATTTTTTCCGTAAAATAATATACTTTTTTCCGTAAAATAATATACTTTTTTCCGTAAAATAATATAATATTCTTTCGTAAAATAATATACAATAAATACAAGAAGACCACAAAAACGAAATTATAATTTAAAATATATATTACTTAGTCATTTCTCAAAAATTTTCCAACAAAAAAACTTTAACGCAGCTAGAGAACTTTGATGAAATTGAGATATTTACACATTCTTAAATACTCTCATTACAACAAAATACCTTTGTTTCCCTTATTAAAGTGCCCATGACATGTTTTCAAAAATATGATATTATAATAGTTTAGATGATTTTAAGAAGGTTTTCAATATATTTTATAATTGAAAAATTTCATCTTCATGGACTTTGAGCACCTTGAATTTGCGGATTTTTAATATTTCTTCCTATTGACCGTGAGTATAAAAAGACTGGTAACAACAATGTAACTAATTGCATGTGTGACGTCACATCGGGAACACACTTGTGCTATTCGGTAACGTTTGTCTTAAAGCACCAAAAAAAATATATTTTTTTAATACGTTTGCGAAAGAATTTTTTTGTGAAAATGCCACACAGATGCGTCGTGTTTGGATGTTCAAACACGTCAAATTGGAAGAAGGGGATTGCTCTCCATAGAATCCCATATGCGAATGACAAAAGACCCGAAGCTAACAAACGTAGAAAAGCTTGGGTTGATTTTGTGAAAAGGAAACGAAAAAATTGGGAACCTTCTTCGTCTTCCAAAGTTTGCTCAAAGCATTGTAAAGAGGATGACTTTGTGTGTCGCTATACTGGTGAGATGGGAGTATGTAATTCTGAGAAACCGCTGCTTGTAGCACCCACGTTAAAAAGGGATAGCATTGGCATATGTGTCTGGCCTTCCAAGTTTAAAACAGAAGAAACAGTGCTGTCAGAACGAGATCGTCGTCGCATTGTGAGTATTATATATTTTTTAAAAAATAGCCATGAATGGTTCTCCTTTCGTATGTGTCACTAAGTATTTTGTAAAACTATTGATTCCAGCTATTTCACGCTCAACATGCAGATCACGAAGAGTGCAGCGTGAGTCAAAAAGGAAGCATATATGAAAATATTGAATGTTCTCAGCCTTGTTCTTCTTCTCTAACTAATGTATCTACAGAAGAAGCAGATGAATATATGCAAACAGACACTGTGACTTTTCCTCATGAAACAGATAACAGTTTTCATGAACTACTCAAAGACCCTTACAAATCAGTAAGCGTACGTTTGGTTACCTCACTTTGAATAAAATTGAAATAACTCGATTTAGGGTCTTTCAATGACAGGTCTTGCCCCATGGCAATATTTATTTGCTAAACAACTTACCCTGAATTAATAATTAGTCACACTGATTGACCTATATTATCATTGCTGTTTAGTTAAAGTAGTTTGCCACAAGTCCAAAAAATGTTTTTCTATGCATTTCTTTTGATTATGCATTTCATTTGATTATGCATTTCTATGCATTTCATTTGTATTTCTTTTGTTATTCCCAGACTTCTTGATATGTCTTTTATGCTTGTTTATTAGCAAAACAAAAAAATTTTATAAGTAAATAAACTTTTCCCTTATCCACAATCGTTTCTAGGGCTTATTTTAAGAAATAAGTAATATTCAACCAAAAAGTACTTTCTAACAATATTATTATACACCCTGTAGTTTAAAATAAAAAAAATATTGTTTATTTGCCGAACTGGGAAAATGTAAATGAAAAATGGGTCCAGACATTGCCATTGAAATGTCAGAATTGTGTCAAACTGATCAACAAGATGCTCCAAAAGAAAAGAAAGATGCTGTTTTACAAAGCTCGGATGAGATATGGTATGCTATTGTATAATGTTATGAATATTAGATGACAAATCTAATAAATTGTATCAGTTATGGAATATTGATCAAAGCAGTATCTATGAATATTAGCTAATGAGCTATATATAAACTCAAACGACTCAGTAATTTAGTAAATGTACTTAATTTTTTTCAGATGATGTTGAGAAAAGTAACATCTTTGATGCTGCTCATTATTCTGATGTAATTGATGAAGATAGTGCAGAGCATGTGGATAGTGACTTTGAGGAGCAACAATCTCAAGATTCATATACAGATGGGGAAACTGAGGATGAACTTTCAGCAAATCAAACATCAAGTGAAGAAGACAGTGATACCGATGATTCTGATGGAAAATGGTACTTATAAACTTTCTATGTTACCACATGCTATATAGAAATCATCATTGATGTATGATTAGGATTGTTTCTGTTGCAGTGTTTATGCAGCAAATGATGGAGATTTAAGGAAGCAACCAAAATACATTGTTTTTCTTTCACAACTAATGAAACTGTTTGATGTTTGCCCATCCTGTAAAGTGCCTGATGTCCTTGTGGAAATGAAAGAATTTGGAACCATGATTCAAGTAGAGACAACTTGCAACAATGTCCAATGCAAACAACGCAGTAACATTTGGGGTAGCCAACCCAACATTAGGATTGCAATGTCAACACTTCCTGCAGGAAACCTACTTCTTTCGTTTGGAATTTTGAGTGGAGGTGGATCTGCCAGCAAAACTTTAAAAATATTCCAGCACATGGGATTGCGGTGCATGTCATTGCGATCTTTTTTCCGACATCAAAATGTATGTGTGCAGTTTTTGCAGTTGTTGGTTGTTAATAAAAGATTTTCGTTAGGATTAATTTTGTGATAAGTTTCCATATTTTTTTCAGACCAAGCTGTTTCCAAGCATTCATTTATATTGGAAAAAGTACAAAGACTCTTTGAACACAAATTTAAGGAAAATCCAAGACATAGTTCTTGCTGGTGATGGCCGCCATGAGAGTATGGGCCATTGTGCAAAACACTGTGCATACAGCATATTCTGTTGTAATGGTGACATAAATAAAATTGTAGATTTTTGTTTAGTGCAGGTACGTAAAAATAATTTGAGATTACCTTTTCCAAAGCACTGATAATTTTTTTATACATTGTTGGATTCTTTTACTACTCTTAGAGAAATGAAGCTGGTAACAGCCCAGCAATGGAGTATCTAGCTTTCACAAAGGCACTGGAGAGGCTTTAAAAGATGGCTTGAATGTGACAACTTTTATTTCGGATCGTCACACATCTATTTCAAAACACATGAAGGAGAAGCTTCCTAAAATTACCCACTACTTTAACTTGTGGCACTTGGCAAAAAGTAAGTAATAACTGTGTTTAGTGTTCTATGTGATTGGCTTAGCTTTAAAAGCGTTTACATTCTTTTTCTTATTTGTAAATCAGAAGTCAATAAAATTCTTAAAAAAATTGCAAAAGAGAAAGGTTGTCAGGAGCTTCTTCCTTGGGTGAAGCCATGTGTGAATCATTTGTATTGGAGTGCAATGTCAACTGAAGATGGTGATGGACAGGTCATATGGGCTAAGTTTTCATCATTCTTGGAACACATGGCCAATGTTCATTCAAATCTTCCCAATCCCATTTTCAATGCCTGTGCTCATGGTGATGACATTGAGGAAAGGATGTGGCTTAATAAAGGTAAGACATTTGTATAGTGAACATAATTTGTGCTTAAAATGTTTTAGACATGATGATGCAAGATACATTTATTTAAATTTAAATTTATTTAAGTCAGTTGTGTTTGAGAAAACACAAGCTGCTCTTTTGAATAGTAATCTGAAAAGGGGTATTTCCCAAGCGTCACCACTTTCACAGACCAGCTGCCTGGAAGGTTTCCACTCAGTGTTAAACCATTTTTCTCCAAAAATGATTTCATACTCGTTTGCAGGGATGTATTGCAGGTACGCAAGTAAATTAAGGCCAAATGAAAAAATAAATAATTTATACTTTGATTTTTACCTATCTAGACACATTTTGGCTGTTTTGCATTTTAACGATAACTTGAGGAGAGATGAGGTGATTGTGAAAGATAAGAAACAAGTTAAAGTGGTGTACCCTAAATTTAAAAATGGTGATGCTACAGTAAGAAGTGTTAGAGTTCATCAAATTTTTGGTGAGATATGATTTCAATGACAACTTGTGTACACAAGCACAGTTACAACAGACACTCATAGATGTTCAAAACACAATTTCTGTTCCTAAAATTGAACATCTGTGTGTAGATTATAATGATGAACTTTATCACACAATGATGAAGGCTACCAAAAAGCAATTTGAAAAGGCATCTGAAGAGTTGTCAAATATGTCTCCTGCACCAATGCATACAATGTTTGAGAGACAATCAAGAGCAAAGGCCATTAAAAAGAAGATCAACCGCCAGAAAATGGTAGTTGCAAATGTACCACCCACCAATGGTATGACTAAGACATTCTTTATTTAATACTTAAACTTATTGTCTACATGTCAATCACAAAAAATATAACATTTTAGTCCAACCAACAGTGTCAAATAACATCACCAGTGAAGAAAGAACTTGTCCACACTGTCGAGCATGTGGGAAAGCAATGAAAGGCCATCAATATGTCCTTGACTGTCCACGGAACAAGAATCCAAATTGAGGGTGAATATTGGCATACAAATAGTAATTTATTCATCCTCAAGTTCATCATCATCATAACCTTGGAAATCTTTTCCAGGAAATCGAGTCCTTATTGAATGATAGGCACAAGCAGGCAGTGGTATCCTTTTCCTTCCTAAGTAACCATGCACCAGCTGGGTAAACTCTCGATAGGCAACACTTCTTAAATACCTATATTTACAAATTAAACAAATGTTTGTTTCACAATAATTAAATTTAACATAAGATGAAAGCACATAGGTATGTACGTACCTGTTCTCATCATCATGTTTCGCATATTTTCTTCCATCTATTTTCCTGAATTTTGGGCCTGCCATTCGCAATGACCAAATATCCAGACACACTGAATTGAATGCTGGATGAAGTGTAATACATTTAGGAACAACTTTCATTTCACCCAGCACCATTTCACTGTTTAAGGACTCTATGCATTCGTCAAGTTCTTGGCAACACTGACTCTCTTTTTCATTTTGAAGCATATTAGTCCTGCAATTACCACAAATGCACCTACAAATACAAAGAGCATGCATTTGTTCATGTTGGAATACAACTTGTAGTTTGAATTGATAATGTGAACAAAGAACGCTGTGCAACTGAGATAACGCTCATTGACTTCGCGTGAAGTGAATTATGGCCCTAACTTGTAAATATTTTAACAAATAAATCTACTCACCACTGCTCCAACGGCACACGATTGTTGAATCTATCAAGCAGCGTTTCCAAAAAAAATTGACGTTCACGTAATCCGTCATGATAATTTTGAACCCATTCTTCATCAGCAACAGGTTCATCTTGATATGGCAACATTTGTGATTCAATGAAATGTTCAGACGCATCAATAGAGTCACTTAGGTGATCGACGATAACCAAACTTTCGGCTCCCATCATGTACTTTGAAATCGAATCATTATCTGAATCATTTAGACTCTCAATTGAAAGCAAAGAGCTCGAAGACATCTTTAATTTTTCAGGCGCACAATATAAAATTTAAAAACTTATGGTTCTACTCAGAGTGTAATAAAATTGCGAATTTATAGCTGTGTCTTTAGTATGGTATTATGTCTTGTGTTTGTTCGAGAAAAGCACTCGAAAGCGTGTTCCCGATTTGACGTCAGATCCGGCGTTATTTGTTTTTCTCGTCCTAGGCCTTTTGACATCACGAACAATCAAAAAATAACCAACTTTAAGGCATCCAAAGTCCACGAAGATGAAACTTTTCAATTATAAAATATATTTCAAATATTCTAAAAATAGTCTAAACTATCATAATATTGTGTTTTTGAAAACATGTCATGTGCACTTTAAACATTCACCCACCGAGCAAACGAAAGCGATATATGTTGAAACGTTTAATGACTAATATATAAAAGTAAAATATATGTGCTTCTACATCTCAATATCAACAATGCCAATGTGCTCATCTCGCCTCTAATAATTAACATAATTAAATTACATTATTACCCAATCAATGACCTGTTAGTAAACTTTACGTGGGAAAGTTACCACTCGTTAACACTCCCACTTGATAACTCTTAACCGAAATAAAATAATGAAAAGTTATAAATCGTTAAACTATACTGTTCATGTTGTAGTGTTTTCTATCAAAGATCTCAATTTCTCAAAGTTAAATTTTGGTAATCCTTTCGTTAGAATATCGGCTTTCATTTTATCAGTTGAGCATTGAACAATATTGACTTCTTTCGACTGAACTCGTTCCAGGACAAAATGATGACAAATGTCAATATGCTTAGTACGGTTGTGGTACTTAGCATTCTTTGCAAGTTCAATCGCTCCTGGATTATCCTCAAAGATTGTAATTGGTCTTTCCATTCCAAATCCATTGTCCATAAGTAATCTTTGAATCCAAATTGCTTCCTGCGTGGTGTAACTTAATGCTACATATTCTGCTTCAGTTGTGCTCTTTGCAACCGTTCTTTGTTTTCAGCTTGACCAGCTGACTGTGCTATTGCCAATTTGAAAAATGTAACCTGATGTTGATTTGCATGTATTAATGTCTCCAGCCCAATCTGCATCATAAAACCCTAAAAGGTCAGAGTTTCCTTCTGCCAAAAACTTCAATCCATGATCTGTTGTTCCCTTTAGGTATCGTAATATACGCTCCACACCACTCCAGCGCTCTTTACTTGGCTTTGCCATGAACTGGGATGAGACTCCCACTACAACTGATATATCTGGTGGCGAAATTACTGAAAGATATGTGAGACATCCAATTGCCTGTTGATAAGTTTGCGTGTCAAACTTCTCTTCATCATCCTAGCATTCAAAAAACTTCTTTGAAGTTTCGAGGGGTGTAATTATAGGTTTACAATCCTGCATCCCGAATTTATCCAAAATCTTCTCGATGTATTTGTGCTGGCTAATCGTGATAACCTTAGCTTCTCGGTTACGTCGGATCAACATCCCCAGTAGAAAATGAACATTGCCTTTATCTTCCATCTTGAATTTTTTGCTGATTGCTTCCTTTTCTTCCTTTAACATGGTGATATGAACAAAATCCACTTGCTGTCATCACATCTATCAAATAATCATGTTAAACAATATGAAAAATATGAATTTTGTATCAAAACTTAGCTGTAAAAATTTTTTTTCACTTCTTTAACGTATTTAATACTCAATGCGGTTGTGTTATGACAAAAATTGCAAGTTTTAATGAATAGAATCACAGCTAAATTCAAAACAGTATTGTGTAAATTCGAAAGATTATATTTGCGCACCCAATAATAACTCAAACAAATTCCACTTGCTGTCATCACATCTATTAAACAATTATCTTAAAAACCTGTTGTTGGCACAATCTGATACTATCTTTCACAAAATACAAAAACATGAATTTGTTTGTCAAAACCTAGCTGTAAAATTTTTTGCACCATGTATATAATACAGGATGTGGTTTGTGTTATCACAAAAAACACACATATTAAAGTATGTGAAAGAAGTAAATACAAAAACAGTATGCTTGTAGGGTTACAAGGTTATATTTGTGCAAAATTTGGTCTTAAAATTCAACAATTTATTTTATTTAAACCTATTCTAAGCAAACACTTATCGCAAAAGCATTGTACTGGAAAAATCAGTAAAAATGGATAAACGCTAAAACAATCAAATATTGCGATACAAAAAATGGTCAGCAAACATAAAAAACAAAATAAGAAAGAAGTAAAAATCTATAATAAAATTTAGATGTAAGAGATGATATGTTGAACATGACTGATCGTGCAACAATTAAAATTGAAGAAGACAACAACAAAAAGAAGAAGAATTCAAAATGATTAAAGAATATCAGAAACAACAAGAAAAAGTTTTTTCTTGACTCTGAAGATGACTACAGCTAAGGTTGTCGAAACATCAGTAAACAACAACAAAAACAGTCCTTCTCAGGACTATACCAACTTGGACGATCTACATTTACAAACATGTAACGGTACTCCTAGGTTCAAACCATTTACTTTATAACAAGCAAAAGTATTAGAAAGGCTTCAATAAAAAAAAAACAACAACAGGAAGAAGAAGAAAGAAACAAGAATAATTTAATTGAACAATGTAATAATTATTTTGATTTTGTTTTATTATCATATGATATTAACGAAGATGAGAGACAATTATATATTGAACATTTTAGTAAAATAGTTGAGATTTATTAGACATCATTGTATTCAGAAAAATATTTCACTTTGTCTTCAGCAGCCTTTAATTCATCTGTCATCGTTTTGATATTACACTCTGATACAGATCGACTTGAATAATAATTTTGGAGTTCATCCAAATTAGCTTGTGCTAATATTAATTTAACTTGGGGTTTTTCTTTTATTTTTCATAACCAATTAATAGATGTCTTAATTCATCGCATTCATCTTCCAAAGCTTGAAAATCTTTTAAATCTGCAATTCTTTTTCATTCATTTTGCATTGTTATCTCTTTAAATTCTTCATATTCATTTTGCAAATCAGACATATTTTGTTTTAACTTACGAATCAATTCATAGCATTCATCTTGCAAAGCTTGAAGATTAGGCCGTATTCTGTATCAAGAAAATGTGCTAAAAAATGATTTCTAAATGCCGAAATTCATGACTACATAAAAATCACAGAAAACTACTTATTTTTAATGACTGAATATGATTTAAGTTGTTTGCATCTCTTGAAATTGCAATCTTTGGAGTTTCAGTACTCCAAAGTTTCATAACATTCGTTTAAAGTTTTACCTGTCGCCATCTTGTTTTATTTGTGAAACTGATGACAACATAGCAAAAATTGCGGGTGCACTGTTACATGATAGCAACTACTATCATGTAATATCATTTATAAACTACTATTATATTATATTATATTACTAAGCATTCCATATTTTTATATTTTAACTTTAAAATCCATTTTGCAATGTCATTACTAATTAGGACATAATCTAGAAGCTTGCTTGCATGTGCTAGAAGCTTGCTTACATGCGAAACATATTTTGAAACCAAAACCGCATTTGTTGTTATTGTGGTTAACTATTTAGTGCTGTAACATACTGTATTAAGTATGGGATGTAGGTCACAAAACCACAATACTTCCCATTAGATATTATATATATATGAGTAGTTTACACCACTGAGTACAACCTACGAGAACAACCTACGAGCACAAGCTACGAGGAGATAAACTTAGGAGGCATAGACTACCGAAGTAGTTTGACAAGCTACAATCTACCAGACAACTATCTTGGCATTTATGCCATAACTATCTTTTGGCTTTTGTGCCTTTAATCTATTTGGAAAACTGTTGTGAGTCATTGTTGGACTCACGAACGCTCAAGAATAAAGACTCACGGTTGTACTCAGACAGAGGAGATAAGTTTTATTCATACTTATCGATATTATAATTAAGACACTTATCCACTTTAATATTTATGCGTTGGTTAATAAATTGTTTGAGAAATATAACTGGTTCACACTATCTTTGTTTCGTGTGGAAATAGAACCAAAATTAATAGTTATTCTTTCGGGACCACGCACGTAACATGCACAATGATCAAAACATTTTAAAGGTGAAAATGGGCCATTGACTGATTTACCGAGACATCTTTGAAAAAAGTTTTACATTGTCACGAGCTTTGGTTACTATACAATGGTGAGCAAAAAGACATCGCTGAAAAGAACAAAAATTTGATGAAAAAATTCAGTCCATGAAAAGTCCTTTGGCTGAGTACCGTGGAGAGTTAAAGTACCATAGAAATTGCTAGGCAAAGTTCACCAATGTCGGCCTGATTAGACGGGCTGAAAAAAGAATGAGCAAAAAGTTTGAGGCTTCAGCAGCCACTGTCAATGAAAACTATATACAAGAAAATAAGTCGACAGATGTAAATGAGCCTCACACGAAACTGCTACGATCATCCTCGTTTTGTCATGACAGTTCTAAACCTCCGATAAGAACTAAAGCAGTTTTGCCATCAATATGCATAATATGCAAGCAAGAAAAGTCCTTCGTCACTCAATCGGTAAATAATGTAACAAATAAACCAATATGTTACAGGTATTCCAATACCTGTTTTGTAACATCATAATGTTCTGTACTTAATCTACCTACTATATGATTTTACTTTTGTTGTCTTACTGATGGTGAGCAATGTCCAATTTTTCTACAATTTGGTAAAGATCTTTATTTATTGACAAGAGTTCAGCGATAGTTAATGCTTCAAGGTAAATGTAAAAATATATTTTTGCTACTATTGTCTTTTTTGCATTTGCTTTGTATTTCTTTCGGTCCTAGGTACACTCTCTTTGCATCTGGCAAGTGTTCGGACGAATGCCTTCCCCAATGCAGATAGCATGCTTTTGCACATTAAGAGAGCCAACTACCAAGCAGCCATCTGGAAGAATAGTTTGCAATCGCACATTAATGTTCAACCTCCTGTGAGCCATGGATGGCATATGAAAATGGTCAGTTAGAGATTCTTTGGATGACTGG